ATCAAAGAGCTATCGCGTTTCATTTGAGCTGGCGTTATTTCAGCTGCAGAGAAAATGACCCTTGCATGGCCGTGTTGCTTAGCAAGGAGAGTTTGTAAATTCTGTTAGTGCCCTTTTCAGTGAAAACTTCTGTAAAAAAATGATTTTATGATTTGTTGTAACTTTATGGAGGGAAAAGTGTTTTGCAGCCAACAGCTGTTTTAAGGAAAGATAAGGCTTTCTGACACGTTGCACTGGAAGAAGCGTAAGTACATTTTCTTGGCCCTGTTCTGGACTTGACCATCACAAGTTTACATTCTCTCATGCCTTACAGGTTTCTGAAGTCATTAAGGATGTTTGTAACATTCTGTTTAACCCTGGTCTACTGGCACTTAAGAAATCTAATGTCACTATATTACATGTCAGCTTCCCAGAGTGGAGGGAACATGTAAATGCCAGTGCAATGGGAGAGACTATCCCTATATTTCTCTCCGAGGAGGCCTCGGGAACCCAACTCTAATCTCGCTTGTTTACATGAGACTTTGATCCTTGCTGAGCAAGTTGCTTAGTGCCGTGTCTGTGACTCTCATCTGTTGTTCTTTCCTCACTTGGTACGTACCATGTCGGCCAGTCTGCAGCAAAGAAAATAACTTTTTGTGTGCTAAATGCTTGCTGTACTGCTTGTGCTCATATGCAAAAAATGAGTGTCCTCCAGGAAGTGGAGGGGTTGTAAAATTCAACTGGTCTCCCCAGGAATCTGCCCTTTCTCCCTCCTGTCTCTTTTTTACCACAATAAAAATTAAAGGTTTATATAATAAAATCAGAGTTGAGTTTTCTGCCAAGTGTTACATATGTAGGTTCCTTTACTGACGCAATTTCTGTTGCGAGATCAGAGCCTGACCAAATAGGATAAATCTATAGTCTGTACTTTGTATTCCTCCATCACATGAGTAGTAATAATAGGAATACCTGTGTTTGATGGAGAGCCCAGGTTTGAAATCAGTTGTAGAGGATGTTTTGAGCTGTTTTTGTAATTAAAAACAAAAACAAGTTTCACAGTGCTGTGAAAACAACACAGCTCACTTTGGAACAGCCAAATTGTTCACTTAATTCATTGCAGATAAAATAAACTTCAGCAAAGGGGGACACGCAGCAGAAGCTGTGCTTTGATTTTTCTAGAATAACTTGGTAAGGCCCTGCTGGGATTGGATTCGAGGTAATCTCAAGGCAGCAGGTCTGTGCCTGGAGAGGGATTGCCTTACTCCAGCGAGGAGTCTGAGGTAGCTTCCCAGGGGTGGATACACTGAAAACAGCATAATCACCCTCTTACTCCTGCTTTTCATCACAGCCGTTTCCATTGCCTCTCTGGGTGCAGAGTCCTCCTTCAAAAGCCCGTGGGAGGATTTTTGCTCTTTGGCTCTGTCATCAGGGATGTTTCTACTCTACTCATCACCTTCTCGCTGTAATTCCTTTCAGTCCTTCCCTTTCCACAAAAATAGAACCGTTTTTTATTTCCTCTGCTTCTTTCCCTTGATCTTTCTCGTGTCTTTGCTGCTGCTTGGGTCTAGGTTGCAGAAACACTGTGTGTGCTACCTGCGAGCAGCAGAAATGGGAATGAATCCATGAAGGTGCAGGATGCAGCGCTTGCCCAGACAGTTGTTTCTGTGCCACAGTGCCCAAAAATCCTCCTCTCTGCTGCCGCGTGGCCGTGGGCAGGATGCCCATGGGCAACGCACGGCGATGCCTTTCTGTCCGTGCCACCACTTGTCCCGTCCGTGCTCGCCCGCTGGTGCCTGGCCGTGGGTGTCCCGGTCTCTCCTTGCCGCAGGAGGTGGCTCCGCTCCCCGGGTCAGCAGGAGCCAAGACGGTGCCTGGGAGCGGAGCCGGCAGCGGTATCGGGTTCTCCCCTTGGCCGCCCGTAGCGGCGCTCTTATTTGCCAGCTTCCTATTTTTAACGTAGCTATGGGGCAGGCCCATCTCTCCCCACCTGCCCCTGTTGAGTGGGTGGATATATGGCTCTTACAGGAGATCTTATCGCAGAGGAGGCGATGAAATGGATGAGAGACATAAAATAGATGTGAGACGTGCCGAGCTGGGCCCAAGCCCCGTGACGGATGTTGTGCAAGAGCCCTGGGTGGAGCGTGCGATGCCATAAGCGCTCAAGTATGTGGAGGCCTTTATAGAAAGCTGGTGGATGCAGAGCTAAAACCCTTTGATTTCTCATCTCGGGGACTCGAGGCCAGGCAGCGGTTGCCGTTTGAAGCCCTCCTGCGAGCAGGGCGAGCCAGCATCGCGTTGCTTGCGTTCGTGTTTCCTTTGGGGGATTCCGTGTCATGCTTTCTGTTCTTTCCCTTCCTATAAAAAGCAAACACCCCTCAAGCTTCCCTGCTTTTATAGGTTTATCTTCTTGTGCTTGTTTCTTCAGCGTCGAGACGGCTTCCTCAATAAACTCCTACCACCTGAATTGCAGGTCCAGCACAACCGTGCCAGCGTGTTTCCCTTCTGATTATCTCCTCCCAGGCTCCCTCCTCTGTACCTTTTTTTCTAAACAGGAAAGTGTTTTCAGTAATTATTTACTGATAGAGTTTGAAAAGCACTCCCATGCGTACTAACCCGCACGTACAATTCAGCACTCGCCTTCATCCCAGAGATGTTAATGATGGATGATGAGTGGGATGTTGACCCAGTTAATTGCTAGGAGGAAAAAAAAAAAGCCTCTGTGTTTTAAACCTGGCCTCTTCTTGTTTTGTCTATGCATGAACAATATTTTAGGTAGCATAATACCTGCATCTTGGTGGTTGTCCAGCTGGGTGAATGAAACTGGATAAACATACCAAGTTTTATATTTCTGGCTAATTTCAGATTGATTTTTTGAAAGGCACCTTAAGTCCTCCAGCAGCCTCTATTGGTTAACTCGTTTTTGTTTTATTTCTTCTTTGTAGCTTTGTCAGATACCACCCTCCTCCTTTTAAAATACAGGAGAGGACAGCAGGGACCCTGAAATCCCATGTAATAAATGTGTCCTCTTCTTACCAATCAAAGCCAGGCAGTGTTAAGTGTTTTACAACTGTAGGTGTGACTGTGCTGAATGGTTTTGCTGGAGCACCCACGTTTATTAGAGGATCACATCTCCTCCATGGCACCACTTCCTTTGTCAGGGGCGCAGACGTTCGCTCTGAGCAGCTTCTGCTCCAGTCGACACCTTGACTCGTAGGTGCGAGCTCTGGCTCCGACGTGGTTGTTGGAGGTGCCAAGGGGAACGCGATACCCCCCAAGCTGCAGCCTGTCTCCCAGCTTCCTAAAATCAGCCTCTCACCACAAAGCTGGCAGCAGGGCCTGGAGATGACAAATGACCTGTCCGAGCTGTCTGCAGAAGTGTCTCCGCTGGCCCTCTGCAAGTGCTGCTCTTTGGTCCCAGGAGATATAGGTCACACACTACGATTATG